TCCTAAAATACACACCACAAAGAAATTTAAATTTAAAAACTAGAACAAAATAAAGAGAAATCTTCAGACTGAGATGTAGAAATGTACATACACGATAGTGTGGACAAGACCAAAATCTTCAACCTGATTGTCCTTCGACCATGAAGCTTCTCCATGTTTGCAACAGATATTCACACCCAACATGGGATCATTTTCATCATTACAAATTCGATTCAATATTTCATTTTGACATTATATCAAAAGAAACAAAAACAAACAAAACTCATTCATTAGATCTAGATCTACAGTACTGATCTATATTTAAAGAACCCATTCTTACCCAACCACTATATTGCAAAATTAATGATTTTATTGATTTGACAATACATGACAATGCTGAGATTTGGTTTAACCAAATTAAAGGACAATCAAATTAGTTGTGTGTTAAAAAACAAAGAACAAAAAAGACTGACAGAAAAAAGACCAATGAAATAAAAAACATCATTATATCCCATGCACTCCAGAGATCCGAGATCCATGCGAAGAGACAGAGAAAGCACGAAGAGGAGAGAAACCGAAGCGGTGAGGATGAAAATGAAAACCCTATTCTTGAAATGAAAATGAAAACCCTAATTTATATATATATCCCTTCTAGAAATGAAATAATGGGCCGATTGGGCTAGTTTTAGAGGTTGGGCTTGCCTATGACTTTTATAAAGTACTTACATTTTTTAAGTTGTTGCAACATATGTCAATTATGTGTACATGCAAGTAATATCACCATTAATAGAGAGGAATTCAAGCACATACACTTGGGAAACATTAAACATAAACATGTCATTGATAGTTGATAGTTGAACTAGTGAAATGCAAGGTTAGGCTAGACTATATATCCATATTTACAAGGCATTAACACCAACAAAAACAACAAAATTTACATCTGAAACGCTCTAGCCCATTGATAGTTGATATAGTGACATGCAAGGCTAGGCTAGGCTACATATCCATATTTACAAGAAATTAATGCCAACAAAAACAACAAAATTTACATTTAAAACGCTCTGGCCCTATACTACTACTTCATCCAGCAAAAAAAGACTTGACTGGAGGATCTGGAGTCGACATTGAGCGATTAAAATTGGAGGGGCATCACCATTCTTTCTTGAAGGATGGTGGATCAGAGCTACCCATGCATTCTGTCACAAGACCACCTACAAAAAAACAAACAACCATAGGTAGCTACCACATACACGCCATTACAGTAGATAGGATGTTATATATAAAGTAAGAAGACTTACCAAATGATGAAGCTACCCTCCATTAGACAATATCCGACAAAAACAAACAACGAACATCACCCATGCACTGAGAACACACTTGAAGAAGACATCATATTAACTGAAAACAACATAATTACGTTGATCACCCACAACAAGAGCATACAGAGACTTAAATTTGTCCAAGGTGGTAACATCTTCTCAGGGAAATTTGAGTGTAAGAGGAGGAAAGGATAAAGAATAAAGGAAAGAAAATAAAAAATGAGAGATTTTTTTTTGTGAATTAAGGGAACCCTAATTAACCCTTTTATAATGAGTGAGAGTGAGTGGAGTCTGTGTTAGTGGAGTATTCTAGAATGATCTGTTACATTACATGTTGAATTAACCCCCAAAAGACCATTTTATGATATACATATGTTGTCACATGTGACATGTCTGTTGCGATTTATCAAACAGAGTGTGCATATGTTGCCACAGATAACACTTCAGGGATCAGTTAATCGATAAATTGAGCGATTTAGGAATGGGAAAATGTCAAATTGGACCAAATTTTAGTATGTTGAACCAAAATTAAGCAATAAAAATATGCTATAACACTTGGAACAACGATTTACAAGGGTGTTATATAACTATCATATGGAGTTACTTGGTCACTGTATGATGAACTAGTTGGATAGTCTTTGTAAAAATAATTGATAGAATTGAATGAAGGTTGTTGTATTAGACCATAATT